TCTTTCTGCGATGACCTTTTTGAGCGAAATCTCGGTACTGAGGAAGTCGTGTCGGAGAGGTGTGGTCGCCAGACCTCGGCCTGTGAGAATGAGGTCGCGCCTAGTGTTCGGCGCCCGCCCTCTCTCGCTCACTTTCGTGCTCTCTCTCTTTCTCTGCCTCGCTCACTTTCTCTCTATCGCTCTCGCTCTCTAACTCTCCCCTTCCCATCCTCCCCTCCTACTCTCTCACACTCTCTCTCTCTTTATATATAAATGTATGTATATATATATATATATATATATATATATATATATATATATATATATATATATATATATATATATATATATATATATATGCATTTGTGGGTATGTGTATGTATATACATACATATATATATATATATATATATATATATATATATATATATATATATATATATATATATATATATATATGTATATATACATATATATATTATTCATAAATACACACACACGAGTGTGTGTACCTATTAACCTATCTCTGTTTGTCTGTCTGTCTGTCTTACTCTCTCTCTCTCTTTGCAGGTTTATCTATCTTTCTGCACCAATTTCACCCCCGCCTCCTCGTTTCAAACTCCTTTCTGTGTTCTTCCCTTCCTCCCTTCCACCGATTTAACAATCCGCCAATGTGAGGGGAAAACATAGTGTACACTAAACAGACAGACACAGCGGCAGAGTAATACACAATACAGAGGAAGTGCATTAGTATGACGTACCGGAAGTGTGAGCAATGTAGAGGAAGTGTGTAGTTGGTATTTACACGCTAGTAGTAGGGTGGGGGGGGGAGTAGTGAAGTATGTACATAATGTTGAGAAGAGTTTCGTGTACAGTGTACTCAAGTGTTTTCTGGAAATAATGAGGGATTTTTTATTTATTTCTTTTTTTTGCGCATCTATTTTTATCGTTGTGGGCATTTGTAAAATAAATGAATAGATAGATAAATAAATAAATAAATGAAATAACATAATACTATTAAATAAAATCACTAACATTGAGGAATCGTAAAAATGGTGTACAATGTCGGGTGATAGTTCGGTATTTTTATATTGCCATAAAGTCTTCACTCGTGCGGTAAATTGTATGAAGACAAACGCCACTGAAAAATTGTTAGAAGGCATTGTCAAGCTAAATCGACAATAATGGTAAGCGATTTCTGATTAACCCTTTGAGTACAAAGGACAAATGTTTACCACAGAGAACGCTTATTTTCAACTTTCGCGTGTTGCAACTAGAGCACTTTCTCTTCACAAAGAAAAAGAGAACATAAAAACGAAAAGAAAATCTTAACCCCTTATCAATCGAAAACTATTCATATCAAATTGTTTTCTATTTTTTTCTTCCTGAAGGGAGGGACTGACGCCTTGCCTTCCTCGGTCGTTGGCCGCGAGTTCAACCGACGAGACTTAGCCGGCCTGGGTATTGTTGCGTTGCTTTTGTTCAGTGGTATCGTTACATCGTTGTTCAACCTCGGTCTGACGAACCTGTTAAGAATCTGATTTTTGTCCCTGAACACGAGGGAGAGAAAGAGAGGATTTGGATTCCCCTCTCTGGCTCCACGAGTCTCTTGCCGGGGTTCTCTTTCTTAGGGGTTCTTCTATTCGGTTTGCTTGTCTCTCTCTCTGTCTCTCTATCTTGATTTCTCTTTCTGAATCTCTCTCCCTCTTTCTCTGAGTCTCTCACTCACTCACTCATTCATTCTTACTCTTTCACTCACTCACTCACTCACTCACTCATTAATTCGTTCGTTCTCCCATTCATTAATTCACTCATCCACTCACTCATTTACTCACTCACTCACTCCTTAATTCATTCATTCGCCCATTCATTCATTCACTCACTTTTCCTCTCTCCCTCCCATCCTCTCTTCCTCACATTCTCCCTCTCTCCCTCTGTCCCTCATATTCTCCATCTCTTCCTTTCCTTCTCTCTCCCTCATATTCTTCTTGAAGACATCACAAAACTTCATTTAAATTTTTGCACATTTCCTCATCTTTTTTCCATCACCTCTCAGAGGTTAGTGGCAGGTTACTTTGGCCTTCACATTCTCTCTCTCTCTCTCTCTCTCTCTCTCTCTCTCTCTCTCTCTCTCTCTCTCTCTCTCTCTCTCTCTCTCTCTCTCTCTCTCTTTCTCTCTTCTATTATTCTCTCTTCTTCGTATTTTTCCATCTTTCTCTATCTCTTTCTCGTTCTGTCTTTCTATGTCTGTCTGTCTGTCTGTCTGTCTGTCTGTCTGTCTGTCTGTCTGTCTGTCTGTCTGTCTCTCTTTCTCTCTCTCTCTCTCTCTCTCTCTCTCTCTCTCTCTCTCTCTCTCTCTCTCTCTCTCTCTCTCTCTCTCTCTCTTCCTCTCTCTCTCTCTCTCTCTCTCTCTCTCTCTCTCTCTCTCTCTCTCTCTCTCTCTCTCTCTCTCTCTCTCTCTCTCTCTCTCTCGTTTTTGTTGTTGTCCTTCCTCTTCGTCTTTTTCTTCTTCTTACCTTTT